ACAGACAGATTTGAGAAACTCATGAATTTGTATTCATAATTGCAATAGCTATAGTTTCTAGGAAATGGACCTGCGTAGGGTGCAGTCTATAGGCCCTGCCCAAGGGACTAAAAGCACGTAGTCGCAGCTGCGGGCGCAGTGCACTACAGTTGGGCTCATGACTTGGTTGAAGAAACCAATGGGCTTGCCGCTTGCTCCAGAACTGCTTCGATTGCATAACCGGAAGCTCCCGAAAATCGACTTCAGAACTTGAAAAATGACTGCTATTATTGATATTTTGGTATATGTTTTATGAGAGATGCGTCAAAAGTAGGAGGCATTTCACAGTGCACCCTATTATTGGCCCAGGCAGCAGCGTAGTCACAGCTGAAGGTACTGTGCCCTACGTTGGGGAGCTGATCCGGGAAAAAAAATTTTTTCTGGACCTAAGAGTAACACTTTGTCTAAATGATTTACAACTAGATAACTCAGCACAGTATCGGATGCATCTACACAGCGGACGCGTTATCGGCTCCACGCAACAGGAGACTTCTACAATGTCCGTAAGCAAAATGCCCGACGGGACACCGGCCCATTATCGTCATGCTACTCCGTTAGCGCTATCGCCAGCCCCATTCTCTGGGTATTTCAGGCGCGTCTAGTGCATACACGCTACTTCACCGACAAGTTGCCTTACCTCGATCCTAGTAAGAGGGTCCTGTCCTCGTACCGTGTTATGACCTCTTGTAGGCCACCGGCTAGCTATTTTCTACAGGTCACCAGCAAGCCCAATTGTAGTTCCTGTGCGCTACAACCTCCCCCCCGTGAGCGCCTGCGTTGCGCAGCGCTCCCTCCCCCCTCCTCCTTGAAGGTTGCCCGTCCTGCAGGCGGCGAAAAGTGACGGACCCAAAGCTCTACGCCTCGGAAGGACCAAGATTGTTTCGAGCCTGAAGACGTCTTTGTTGGCGGCGGCGCCAACCGCGAAGCAAAGCCGGGCAGCTTGTAAGGTGGTGAGCGGGCTCCCATGTGGCTTGACCTTCAGGGGTCCCGCGCCACTTCACGAGGTACTGAGCTTCATCCCCCGAGCCGCGTTGGTCCATAATATAATCGACTTCATAATCCTCTGTTGGATTGCCTGCTGAATCGCGGATAGTAGGCCAGGCGGCGTCGGCTTCCGGGAGAACCATGTCGGGAGGGGGCGGGCGGTGGGGAACTAGCTGCGAAACGTGGAAAGCGTTGTGGCATTCATAGGTGGGAGGCAGAGCGAGACGGTAAGCGACGGTCTCTATGCCTTCGATGACTTCAAAGGGTCCGCGGTAATGGGGCTCAAACTTAGGGCAGCTGTTGAAAGGCGGTAAGCACTTGCTACTGAGCCAAACTTTGTCGCCCACTGCATACTCCACGGCTCGGCGCTTTGTGTCTGCATAGTACTTCTGCTGCCATTTTGCCTTCAGGATATGATTCTGTGCTCTATCGCAGAGCTGCCGGAAAAGCTTATTCATCAGAGGAGTGAGCGTAGGAGCTATCGCACCTACGATATCAAGGTTCGCAACAGTCAACGGATTCTCGCCAATCATGGCCTCGAAGGGAGAGAGCTCGGTGGAGGAATGACTTGTTGTGTTATAAGCAAGTTCCAAGGCCGGAAGCAAATGCTCCTACTCGCGTTCGTCAGATTGGATGTAGGTACGAAGCATCTGCTCGATTGCTTGGTTAACCCGTTCAGTTTGACCGTCACTTTGGGGATGGTAGGACGAGAACATGCACTGTTTGATGTTGAAGCGGCTACAGAGTTGTGGCCAGAGATCCTACTGGAATGGGGGGTCGCGGTCCGATATGAGCACCTCTGGAAAACCGTGATAGCGGATAAGACAGTCTGCGAGAAGCTCCACGGTGTCTACTGCTGTGAATGACAGGAACGAAGTGAGCCATCTTGCTGAGGGAGTGGACCATCAGAAGAATCGAGTCATGCCCTGTCGTTGTAAGGGGATGATCTGTGATAAAGTCGAGACTCACGTGCGCCCATCGATGAGAAGGGATGAGCAACTGTTGAAAAGGGCCTGCGGGCTTCTGGTTAATAGACTTTGACGCTCGACAGTGGGTACATGACTCAACATAAGCAATAGTGTAGGCGCGCATTCCTGGCCAGTAGTAGTGCTTGCTGAGAGCCGCAAAGGTCTTCTTCTGGCCTCGATGGCTGGCTGTAACATGGTCGTGATGCGAATGGAGAACGTGAGTAAGGAACTCAGGGAATTGTGGGACGCAGATGCGCCGCAGTCCATGAACGCGGATGTGCAGGTAAGGCTGCACGTAGCGAAAGGTAAATTGGCGATTACAAAACTCGATTTGCAGAGCTTCTCCTGGTTGGTTTGCTGCGGCTTTGTAGGGAACGCGAAAAACAGGACACTTCGAGTAAGCTTGCGGCCAATGACGCACATCAGGAGGGTCAGCTGGTGTCTTCGTTGTAGGGGTAGGGTGTTCCACCTCTGGATTGGGTCCCGGCGGCGAAGGTGAAAGTGCGGACGGCAGGCTGCGTCGTCTGGGTCGTCGCGAACAAATTCCGGCGAGCTCCCTGTACTTGGCAGGCCGACTACGAGAGCGAGGAGCCGCGCGCACTTGTGCTACTGCAAGCATTAGGGGTGTTGGTGGTGTGTCGTGCGAGCAGGTGTTAGGAAGACCGGGACGGCAAGACAAGGCATCACCCACTTGATTGCGCGCTGCTTGAACAAAGGTGATGTGCAAATTCGGGAACTCGGCGAGGAAGTCTAACCAGCGGGCGGTGCGTCCGCGCAGAGGCTTCGATGGTTGGAGGCGTTGGAGATGGGTGAGAGATTGATGATCAGTGTAACCTGTTACCTTGGAGATACGGAGCAAGTGCGACCACTTGTCCAGGGCCGTGACCAACGCCAAGAGTTCCTGATCTTAGATCGAGTATCTCTGTTGCGTGGGGTTCATGACTTGGCTGAGGAAGCCCATGGGCTTGCCGTCTTGTTGCAGAACTGCTCCGATCGCATAACCAGAGGCATCTGTGTATAACTTCGAAGGGTTTCATCGTGTCAGGGACTTGTAATGTAGTGAAGTCGATTAAGCGCTGTTTGAGCTGCCGCACCGCTTGCGTGTGAAGCTCTGTCCATTCGAAACTGATTTCTTTACGCGTAAGATCAACCAGCGGCCGGGCAACGTCTGCATAGTCCGGTCCCATGAACATGCGACAGTAATTTATGGTACCGAGGAACTGGCGCACTTGCGTTTCGTTCTCCAGCACTTCTGGCCAATGCCGGATGGCTGCGATTTTATCTTCTACGGGTTTGATCCCCGTAGCAGAAATGGTATAACCCAAATATGTAATTGTTTGCCTTGCAAACTTGCATTTGCGGAATTTTGGGTAGAACTGGTGTCTACGAAAATTTCTTAGGACTTGTCGCAGAAGAGAAACGTGCCCCGAGAGATCGGAACTATAGATAAGTACATCATCTAGGATAATAAAGGTTGTAGATAGGCATTAATATTGGCCTGGAACGTAGCGGGAGCACCCTTAAGGCCGAAGGACATCACTCGGTACTCGAATAGTCCGAGAACGGACCGGAAAGCTGTCTTCCACCGGTCTTCCTTAGCCATGCGTATTTGATGGAATCCTGCTTCAAGATCCAAGGTGGAAAAATACTTGGCGCCTCCCAGCAGTTCTTGAATGGTTTGAATGGGAGGTAGTGGAAAATGAGGGGCTATCGTAAGGGCATTCAGAGCCTGGTAATTAACAACCATACGCATCTTCGGCTCCCCGGAGCCACCATCACGTTTGTCCACCATGATCGTAGGAGAGCAAATAGGCGAATAGGTCGGTCCAATCCAACCACTGTCTAATCATTTAGCTATTTCCTGTTTGTGGAATGTGAGCTGATCTGGGGTCACACAGTATATTGCAGATTTCGCTGGAATTTTTCCAGGCACCAGTAAGATATGGTGATCATGAGGGCGCTCCGGAGGTAGTCCTTTAGGTAAGTTATCGGGAAAGACCGCTCGATAATCCTGCAACGCCTGGATAATCTCACATGGAATAGCCTGCGCCTCTGTCGAATTTATCCATTTGTCGAACAGAGAGTGCTCGAGTTTTGTCATAGGCCAGGGCGACTCCTCTTCACCGTCCGCTGTCGTCAAGGCAGTGGAGGCAAAGGGACTACCCCACCCGGAGGAGGTGGGTTGATTCCTAATTAACGCGCAGCAAAGCGCGTCTTGCCATTCATCCGAGAACCTTAGGGGCACCGCCGAACCGGCTTCGGGCAAAGCCAGTATGAGATGCAAACCGTGCAATGGTGCCCTAAGACTCTTTCTGTCAGCCGCCGCCTGACGGATGAGCTACGTGAGCTCGTAGAGCCGTGTTGCGGCTGTCGCCGCTTGTTCCCATGACTGATATTTCACCTGTCCGTTATTGGTTATTAGAAGATGGAGGTCTGTCGGTAGCCCGGTGCAGTAATAGTCCGCGAGTTCGTCGGGGGCAAAACCCAACCCCCGCTCCGCCACAGCCGCAAGCCTGTCCGTGTATTCGTTCGGGTTACCATTCCACCGTACTTTAGCCAACTCCTTTAACAATTGACTCTGCGACATTGTTCTGTCAAACTGCTCCAAAAGCCTGCGCTGTACTGTCGCCCAGTTGCTTAGGTCTATAGTTCTCCGTAGATACATCCAATACGTTAGAGCCGGGCCCACAAGGTGGTCTATTAGTGCATTTCCCCACTCGCGCGGTTCCAATCCCATCTGGGTGTACCGGCGCTCGATGCGCAGCAGAAAGGCCTGCATAGTGCCGCCGTCTTCTGGTAGTATGGGAGTCGTTGCGCCGGATTCCACAGTCCCCCCTATAACAGTTTTTATCACACTCATAGCGGACTGGAATTTGTTCCACGTGACGAAGGGACTGTCCCCTGGCATAACATTGGTCATAGGTATCACCTGTGGGGGCGCCTCCTTACGCCCATGCGGCCGCTCTGCCACGGTGGGCTTTGGAGTCGCGTGGCGATGATGGGCTGGCGCCCCGCTCGGCATTTTGCTTACTGACATTGTAGAGGTCTCCTGCTGTGTCGGGCCGATAACGCGTCCGTTGCAGAGATGCATCCCTTACCGAGCGAAGATTTCTAGGCACGAGTTATTAAAACATGGTATTTCTACTCCCAAGTCCGGAAAGAACAAAGATTTCATCCCGGAACAGCCGCCAAATGTATTGCACGGCGCCTACTGCTGCGACTACGCTGTTACCTGCCCCTCGAGCAGGGCCTACAAACGGCACCTAACGTAGGCCCATTTCCTGGGAACTGTAGCTTGCTTTTATCGAAATACAATAATTCTTGAGTTTTTCAGAATCTGTCTGTTCGATTCGCCCCACTCTGGGAGCTCGCCTCCTAGGCCCTATGGGGAGGAGGCCTGCACTGGTGCCAGCGCTATCGCCAGCCCCAGTCTCCACGCATTTTCCATACATTTCACGTATGCATATTAATTCATAGACAATTTGCCTTTGATTCTAGTACAAGGGTCCTGTCCTCCTCCAGTGTTGCGACCCCTTGTAGGTCGCTAGCTAGCTATCGTCTCTAGGACACTAGCCAGCCCCATTGTAGTGCCTGTGCACTACACCCGCCCTCCAGACTTGGTTCCCCAGGAAACCGATACAGCCTGGCCGCCTATCCGCGATGCGGCTGGCAATCCGGCAGAGGAGTATGAAGTCGATTATATTATGGACCAACGCGGCTCGGGAGATGAAGCTCAGTATCGTGAAGTGGCGCGGGACCCCTGAAGATCAAGCCACATGGGAGCCCGCTCACCACCTAATAGGATGTCAGGTTTTGGTCCGTGCTTGGCACTGCCGTCAGAGAAGACGTCTTCAGGCTCGAAACAATCTTGCTCCTTCTGAGGCATAGCAGTTTGGGTCCGTCACCTGCCGGCACACGAGGGTCTTCAATGACAAAGGGTGGGAGGAAGCGCTGCGTAACGCTTGCGCTCATGGCATTACCTTCACAAGGGAATAAAGACTGAAAAGGCAGAAATAATATGCTGTGGGTAGGCCGGTTCAGTCCGGCAAGGAGGGAAGTTGTAGTGCGCAGGCACCACAATGGGGCTTACTGGTGACCTATAGAGGATAGCTGATGACCTATAGGCGGTTAAGAGGTTGAGATGCGGATTGAGCTCTGTAACCTCTTACTAGTGAAATACAAATGCAATTTATTAAGAAATTAACATGTATAGGCTAGAAATGCCTGCGAATGCTCTAAGATTGGGGCTGGCGGCACCGCCGGCACAGGTGCGCGTCACATCCTCACCGGACCAGCACAGCAAGAACAAGAAGAAATGACTTTTATGAAAATATGGGTTTGAGAACTCGAAACAAAACGGTATTTTCAATACATTTGTAGACGTTACGCGACCGATGCGTCGGTAGTAGAGGATATTTCTTAGAACGCCCGAGTTGTGGGCAGTGCAGCGTCGTGGACGCTGCAGAGAACGTAGTGTACTACATGTAGTGCACAGCGTTCTCTGCTGCTACCACGTTATTTCTACGCCTGTGAGCTACAGGTGCCACTCAAGTGTAGCCAATAAT